TTAAGCTGCCAAAGTTTAGAAACACTGATGTAGATTATTTGATCTTAGGTTCACAGGCTGGTTTCCAAGGCTTTTCCCCTCAGCAGGTTGAATAGTTCCAGCCAATTGCTGATCATTCAATAAAATACATTTAAACAAAACTTAGATGAGCAGGAAGTGTAAATCTACCCACTTTTGGTCTCTCTCTTTTTTTTTTTAGTAAAAATGTTTGGAGAAATAAGAACAGAGCTGAAAGTTTTACTCAGGGCAACAACACCGAACATACTGAAAACAGGAAGGAAGTTTTTTAAAAGATAGGAACTGCAGTTACTATGTTCCTATGACAATCTGGACAGCGTCCAGTGGAGGGGGGGGATAACAAGCGGCCCTTTTGCACACTGAGTGTGGAAGCACACCAGCAGAGCAACCGCTGCCCTCTTTCTTGCCCAAGCAGGGCACAGAGCCCGGGCAAGCCTTCCCCTCCACCCACGGTACTTTTCAGCTTGTTCACCATCAGAAGCGAGAGGCCCTCCTGGAATATAAAATTCCCTGGAGCCAGAGCATTGGGGTAGATAAGGTGTAGAAAGTGATTTGCTCACAGGAGAGAGACAGAAACATTGACATGGGCTCTCCCTTCAAAAGACAGCCATTTTTTAAAGCTTATTTCAATAAAATCAGGCTTGGGTGATGATGTGGCTATTTTAAAGCCTCCGAGAACCATCTCCCCACCAAACAACACCCCAGTTGTCGCAAAAAGTCTGGCAAGGGAAGAGAGAACGCAAAGACCCCCAAGGAGGAGGTATTATACCCCTTAATTCACTCAAATGAACCAGGAACCAAACAGACCTCTTGGGGGACCCAGAACTGGTTCTCTGCTCCCCAAGGAAGTTTTGCAAAGAACTGAAGCAGCAGCTGATTTTTAGGGAAGCAGGGCAGGAGGCAAGACGCTGCGCATCAACATTAAAAAACAAACTGAGAGTTACGCTCCCAACCCCTGGACAAAAAGGAAACCCTAAACTCCTTGAGGTGCAGATAAGAAATCCAGACCTTTGAAGGACCACTCAGCAATTCAGTGTGAAGCTTTAATGCCCAAGACCACCCTCCATTCAGGGATAAAAATGAAGACACGTCATAGAAGGGGGAACCCGCCACCCTCTCATATTAAAAAAGTGCACTGAACGTCTCTCAACGCCCCACCCCCACCCCCACCCCCATTAGCATCCTCTGGAAGCAGATTTCTCTTGTGTCCAGCAAGAGCAAAAGGTCCCTGGTGTTCACTTTACATTCATTCCCTCCCCTGCCCTCCACTACCCCACCCCACTTTTGCTGCACATGTGTAGAAAGCTTGGGCAGAATTCTGGGGTCCTGCTCTGCGTCTGGATCCAGAATCACTTTTCCTGTTAGGGCAGAAATAGGAAAGGTGAATTGGGCTGTGAAACCAAGTAGGAGGATGGGAAATAATTATTGCTTATTTATTCATTATTACATTGGATTTGTTATGCCGCCCACTCCAAAAGACTCTAGTTGACTTAAAATATCCAAATATACAATGAAAAACTGGACAAAACAGCAACAATGACAGTCACAAAGACTCAAGAGGGGTCCCACAAATACATCGATATACACATCAACCCCAGTCCCGGGACAGAGCCAGGCCTTAAGGCTTTCCAAAACCCCAGGAATGTGAGCACCAGACCCATCTCTGGGGAGATGCTCTTCCAGAGGGTGGGGCCCCGAGAAGGCACCCTTCCTTGGTCCCACAAGATGACAAGGCTTAATAGAGGGGACCTGGAGTGCCCCCACTCTGCCAGAATGTACCAGGCAGGCAGAAACAATGGGAGACAGGCAGGTCCCTCAGGTAACCGGGCCCTGTGCCACGAAGGGCTTTGTAGGGGATAACCAGCACCTTGAATTGCACCCAGAAGCAGACTGGCTGGCATACCCCGAAGCACCCATTACCGCTCACGCCACCGCATTTGGAACCGGCTGTAGCTTCCGTAGAAAGAGACCCCTCCCGTCGCCTGAAGAGAAGAACCACTATCTTCTTGTTACCCAGTGCAGAAAGTAAGAAAAGGGTGGGACATTTTCCTGAGCAAAAAAAGGGAATACTTGCCAGGCACTGGGCGGATCCTACTCTTGATGCCTTTCCTTTCTTCCTTCTTCCATGGCCTTCAGCTGGGCCCCCGTCTTCTCCTGCGCACACAGACACAAAGGGTGTTTCAGGCACGACCCCCCCTTCTGTTCCTTTGTCCAAATCGCTCTGGATGCTCACTCCCCCTCGGGGCAGTGAGGCCATCACTGCAGGGCCTTACCTTGAGCGCCCGGGCCACCCGTTCCAGCGGTTCTACCACATGCCCCTTATGCGCCTTCATCCGCTTGCAGACCACACAGAGCAAGGCTTGGTCATCCTGGCAGATGTGCTCCAGGGGCTTCCAATGCCTCTGGCACACCTCCCTCTTCCCAGCTCTCCTCTGCTCCCAGAGCTTCTTGGCCAGCTGGGCCACCTTGGCCAGTGGCCGGTTGGGTTGGCCGCCTCTTTGCAAAAGGACCTTTTGACACTCGGGACAGCTGGAAGCCAGGCCAGATTCCTCCCAGTGGTGGAGGACACAGGCTCTGCAGAAGTTGTGCCCGCAGTCCAACATCACGGGGTCAGTGAAGGACCTCAGGCAGAGGGAGCACCTCAGAACCTCAAAGAACTCCTCAAGGAGGCTTTCGGTAGCCATGGTGGCTTCTCTCTAAAGGAAAACAACATTTCCTAATTCGCAAGAGCTCGAAAGACGGAACATGAAGCCAACAGGCACCCATGATTAGCATAACTTGGCTCACCTATTGCAGGAGGAGCGTTGCTTAGTTTTAACTTGGCGTGTTATACGAAACCAGCTATGGTGGTATGTCAGCTACAGCTTACGGCTTAGTTAGTAATGCCAGACCAGGGGTCCCCAAACCCTTCAGCTCATCGGCCCCTTCATGAAGTTTCAGATGGTTCATCGACCCCCAAACATTTATTATATAACAATAATTATATATTATTATATATAAAATAAACCAGGAGGTGCTGAGTTCTAGTCCTGCCTTAGGTATGAAAGCCAGCTGGGTGACTTTGGGCCAGTCCCTCTCTTTCAGCCCAGCCCACCTCACAGGGTTGTTGTTGTGGGGAAAATAGGAGGAGGAAGGAATATTTGGCATGTTCGCCACCTTGAGTTATTTATAAAAATAAGAAAGGCAGGATAAAAAAATAAAATTTGTGATCATATTTTTATTTTAACAATAACTGTTTATCTTTTTATAGGCCTGTTTTTATTCACCTGTTATTTTATTTTAATCCTTGTCACTGTGCGAGATGGGTGGCTATATAAATGCGATGCATAATTATATACATCACATAAAATAGGTATATGAAGATAATTTAATAAATACTACTTTAACTAACAGTACTACGAATAACAACATTAGCAACAGCAGTAATGGCGAGTCCCATCGACCGTTGGGGGTCAGTACTGACCACTTTGGGGAACCCTGTGCCTAGATGCACTGGCCAGGCAGTAAACCACAGTTAAGCCAAACATGGCTCAGCCTGAGTCGGAACCTATCCAGAAGGCTGTGCTCTTTAACTGGAATTAGTGGCCACCGGGAACAAAAGCACCCCTCTCCATTTCGTGATATAACTCCACTGCTCCGAAAGAAACGCGCCTCGGCCAATCCTCTTAGCGTGCCCAGGAGTTATGCTGAAGGAGAGGCCCGTTGCTCCGAATCTGGGGAAAAGAAACTGGGTGGTTGAGGCTTGGATGGGGCCCTCACCGAGACCGCACACCAAGCTGTGAACAATTTGACAAGGTAAGAGATCTCTGAAAGTGTTAGTCAATTTCCTCTAAAAGTGTTACTCAATTTCAGCAACTTTCAGCTGTGCGGACTTCAGCTCCCAGAATTCCCC